ATATATATTTATACATATATATTTCTCTTTTTTATTTTTTTCCTTAGGTCTCCATTTAATTAATCTCTTACGAAGATATACTTATAATTAAGTTTACAGTTTGCGCAACGTAATCTCTCGCGTTTCAATCAATAACTGCGTTACACTTCCCGATCTTCTTGATACTTTTCTTCGGTCGGGTTATTTCTGCTTAGTTGCTTATTTATGCTTTACAAAGACACGGAGAGAATCGAGAATAGGCTAGATTAATTGAAATTGATACAGAGAAAGAGAGACAGAGAGTGGCAACGGCAAAACGGCCAAACATACAGACACGTAGCTTAATACCTTTTTGCTACTACTCCGGTTGTGTGTATTGCACGTTATTTTCTTTCTCGTTCTTCGTTCTCTCGCGGTACCTCCCTCTTATTGTTATGTTTGCATCTTGTTTTATTCATTACATTCGCGCGTACGCGAGCGCAACGTTTCGACGTGACGACGTTTTGTTTATCTAACGTTTCCTTTTCCTCTTTTCCACCTTTCTGCATTTTCATGATTCGATTCTCGCGATTCGACGAGCTCAGCGTGTCTTCGACTGGGGAAAAATTTCAAATCACATCTACTCGATGTGAAATATTCGAAATAAACAAAAATATCACTTTTAACATTTTCCAAAGTAAAATTGCGAGTATCGCTTGCGTTTAAAATAATATCCTTTTTTTCTCCGTCGAATTTTCGCCTGTCCCCGACGCTGTTTCGCCAGCGTTTCGCTTCCCACGTCGATTCTCAATTCGTTATCACCATCCGGTTGATTGCAACGTGAACTGTCTCGTTTCTGGGCTCATTACTGATTCAGGGTATTAACGTTTAATGACAATCGGTGCAACGACCTCGCAGTGTGACAGTAATAATAACGTTAACGACATCCACGTCATAATCACGCAGGATTACGTACGGCTGTACACGTATGTTTCTCTTGGTTTACCTAATCCCTTTGCTGCGATACGCGTTACGGCGAACGTGCGCTGATTGCAAACTTGTCTCGCCGGAGTGCCGGAGTGCCGGAAACTAAGCGTTCCCCAATGCATCGTGACACTTGCACTCTTAAAAAGGATCGCGCCAAAGTATATATTGCGCTTGTCCCGGCCACAGCTTGTCTCTTCGAGCGGTCGTTAAAAGGTATATATACCCTTAATTGGAAATATAAAAATGCCCTCAGTGTCCGTTCCAAGACATTTCCAGCCCTCTTCTACGTGAAAGTAAAATTCGAGAGATCTTTATATAAATCGAGTATTCTCTAAGGTCACTACAGTCGCTAACAACGCAGAGCCTGAAACGCTACTTCACGTGAAAATTTGTCTACTACACTAATTAAATTTATGTTTTCAACGACGGATCTGATCGCGTAGTGCTTTGAAATCGGACTTCGCTGCTTCTTACGCGCGTTCATTTCGTTCCGGAATCATAGAGGAGGCGTCTCGCACTTTCCACACAAACTTCTTCGTCGATTCGTGCTCGACGTCGCATTTAACAGGGCTGATCCTTGCGACTGGCACGGAATCGCGTGGGCTGCCGACGATCGGAAACGGAATATCCGCGAAGAAGGAACACGCTGTTCATCCCGTGGAAACGTTCGTGTCAAGGAGGGAGGTGGCTTCGCGATCGAACGTAACAGAAACGGGGGAATAAAGGCGGAAGAAAATAGAGAAAGAAGGAAAGAAAAGAGACGGAAATAGGAATGGGAGAGAGAGAGAGAGAGAGAGAAAGAGATGCGAAAAGAAGTTTCGGTATCGCTGAAGAACTGAAATTGTCAGTTTTCGAGAGTGGGAAGCATGTATATCTCTGAGGGGTGTGCTTTGGATAATGGCATTTGGGGGGCACTCTCCTCTTCTTTTAGGCTGTTGACAAAATAGAATGAAAAGCGGTCGTTTAGTCAAAGCGCCCATATAAGAGAGAGAAAAGAAAAAAAACAAAAAGAAAGAGAGACGTTCAAACGTAACAGACACGTTCCACATTGGCAACGACATGACGCACGAGGGCACAGCACGTCGTTGCCACACACTAAGAATTCGGAAACAAGCAATTCCTAGAGAAAGCACAGACAGGAAGATTGAAGGGATGTACAGAGAAGCTACGTAAGAAACGACACTAGCTTGGTGGTGGTGTAACACATTGAGAAATTAAGGTCAGGCTTTTCGCGCGGTGGCATTAATTTCATACTCACGAGGAGAGTACTCTTGGACCGTGTCGTGGCACAGATCGAGCTCTTGCATCGATCACCTCGGTGACCCGTTTCCGTTTTTGCTGGTAAGATCAATGAATGATACATAATCTCTGGCAAGGAACAGTTTTTCCAAGAGCTGCATTTCTTACAGCCGATATATTTTGCTATTTGACGAGACGCAATTATCTGGAAACGACCTCTGCGCTCCTCCAAAACTATACTTGTAAGAGCTACGTAATGTATAATCACATTCGACGTGGATATGTCTTTCTTTCTTCCTTTTTTTCAATCCAATTTTATATAGTTAAAGACTTGCAGAAATGATAATAAAAAAAAAAATTGCAATTATATACTGAATTGTTTATCACAAACTCCATATGATTATAAGTACTTCAATTTTGTTTGGTATCGTTCATTAATCATCAGCAAATAAGGAGTACGGCGTCTTCATCATATAATTATGCAAAATCTCGTTGGTGGTCGTAACTAATGAAAACCAAGGAAATGGGAAAATCTAAGATTCTCTCTGAATGTAAATCAT